TTCTAAGCAGTATTCCTGGAAGACAGTCATCTAGCCAGTCTCTCCCTGAATATTTCTTTTTTCCTTTTTTTTTTTCCTGAGAAACACAACAGGATCTTTTATTCTTTATACCTTTCAATCAACTGTTTCTGTGAAGTTCTGCTATAGACTGTGGTCTGCTTCAGAAAGTCGTCTGCAAGATCGAAGCATACCATTTTCATTTTTTTTTTCTTTCTCGTGGTTTTCCCCTTTTGTTCTGATTTTGTCTTTCACAACATGACTAATGTGTAAATATGTTTAACATGACTGTACATGTATAACCTAGATCAGATTGCCTGCTGGATTGGGGAGGGCGAAGGGGGGAATGAGGGAGAAAAATCTGGAATTCAAAATCTTACCAAAATTATTGTTGAAAACTATCTTTACATGTAATTGGAAAACAATAAAATGCTATTAAGTGCAAAAAAATCAACTGCAAAACCTTGACTTTTCCTATCTCATATTTTCATCAAGGATAACTTCAATATATGTAAAGATTATTTTCACAAAGTTTTTATGGGAACGAGAATATAAATTTATGTAGTGATGGTCACTGATGGCCTCTCAATTGTACTTTTCTGATAGTAACTCCATCCATAATTTAAAAAAAAATGTTTAGCAGCTTTGCTTTCAGATATACTGAAAATTGGCTATTCAATTTATTATATTATTATTAATGATGCTATATTGCTTTGAAGTTTGTAAAGCACTTTACAAATATCACCTCATTTTATCCTCACAACAACCATGGGAGGTAGGTGCTATTTTTCAGAAATGAGGAAAAAGACAGTGGATAAATGACTTGCCCAGATAGATAGTATCTGAGATAGGATTTGAACTCAGGCCTTTCTGACTTCAGGTCTACCACTCTATCCACTGCACCATTCAGCTGCCTATCTTTAAAACTGTGTTGTATACTGAATATTTCTATTAACAGGCAACTCACTGTCTCCCAAGGCAGCTCATTCCATCGACAGACAGCTCTCATTGTTAAGAAGTGCTTCCTTCTATCAAGCTGAAATCTACCTTTCTGTAATACCCACCATTTCTTAGCTCTTCTTCTGATCTCTGGAGGTACAAAGTACAAGTTTAACTCATTTTTTCACATGACAACTTCTCACATTTTTGAAGAGAGCTAGCATATCTCCTGTAAGTCTTCTCTCCTTCAAGCTCAATATCTTGGGTTCCTTCAACTGTTCTTCAAGATGGTAGTTTTGGGTTCTTCAATCATCCTGGTCACTCCTCTATGGATCACTCCAGTTTTTCAATGGCCCTCTTAAAAATGGTGCCCAAACTGAACACAAAACTCTAGATGTGGTTTGGCCAAGTATAGTGTCACGATTATGTGCTATGCTTACAGGAACATCTAACTAGAGTCTTGAGCACATGGGACGGGCTGGTTCTTTTCCAAAAGGTTTTTTCTCATTGTTCTACTCTATGAAAATATTTTTGAATCTTGATTCTGTCAACTCATCTATTAACCATCCCTCCCAGGCATCTGTGTCACTTCCTTCTTTAAAGTCTTCATTCATCATCTTACCATTCAATGGTAAAAACTGTCCTTCAGGTTAGCAACCATTAATTCACATTCTTTGAGCACAGCTGTTCAAAGAATAACAAGTTGACCTAACCATACCATCAGCCACCTTGGGATTTCTCCCTCTGGTCCACAAGGATATCATGACAGACTCTGCCAAAAGTGTAGGCTAGGTTTCCATGATCTGCCAGGCTTACAACCCCGTCAAAGACGAAAAGAGCATAGCTTGGTATGACTTACAGTATGCCCATGTGAGCTCTAAGGGATCACCACTTCCTTTTTAAGGGCGAACCAACCATCTGTTTAATAATATGTTCTCAAATTTTGCCAAAAATCAGTGTTAAACAATCTGGTCTGTCTTTTGCTCATTTTTGAAAACCAGGGGATTTAAATGTTCCTCTAATACCCTGGCACCGCTTCCATTTTCTATGATTTCTTAAAGATTATTGACAACGAATCTATGGACCTATTGAAGTTCTTCCAGTATGATGGGACATAATGAATTGGGGCCTGAGGGTGTGACTTCATTTAAAGGAGGTGGGTCCTCTCCTCTTTTACCAACTCTTAGCCTGTCTTGGACTTCAATTCCCCCTTATCCTTGTTTGCCTTACCCTTTTTCCAAGCAATTTTCCTTCATGGAGAAAATCAAAACATAACAGGACTTGGATAGTTCTGTTTTGTCTTTAAAAACAAAGCAAAACTTAAGCTATCTCCAACCATCACACCTTCCCATTTCTTGTTCTTGCTTGAATAGATTTTCTGGCCTTCCTTTGCATTTTTACCCCCTATGGCTTCAGTTCATTCTGATCTTTTGTTTTTTCTCATGACTCTTACAGATCTTTGCCGTATTTCTGTACTCCCCTCTACCTTCTGCCCACCACCTCATGAATCCTTCCTGCTTTCATTCAGTGTATGTAATTTAAGCTCATCAAAGAGCTTCTTCAGTGGACCCCCCCTCCCCTTTCTTCCTTCTCTGGACCCATTCCTATTTGTCCCATCAAAATTTTGCTTTTGAGTGTCTTCCATTTTTCTTGAGTGGTCTTTTCTTTTAGAGTTTCACGGCATGGGAGTATGCTTGTCTCTGAACTTTTCTGAAATGTCCTTGCCTTTTTGAAGCTGGATTTCTTTAAAGTCTCAGCATTTCCCTCCTTGGCTATTATAAACTCAAAGATAATCCCTTTGTCCCAAGGCTCCCATCATTCAACTTCACCAACTAGGGCCTCCTTATCGATTGGAGTTGTGTCCCTCCACAATCTGATTTCCAACTACTTCTCTAGTTTTAATTCATATTACTCTCCTCCACATTCTCTTGCCTCTAGCCAAAGTGACCTGTTAGCTGCACTCCAAACATGACATTCCGTTTTTCCATCTCTATACCTTGTCCAAATTAGGAATGTACTACCCTCCTCCTAGAAGAATTCCTAGCTTCCTTCTCCCATTTAGCTCTTAAATAAGTAGCAGAAAGATTGGATAGATTCTATTTTATAGAGCTAGAAACCGAAGCACATAGAGCAAAGGAGAGTCAGGAATGGAAGCCGGTTTCCCTGACTCCCAACCCAACATCCTTGCAATTCATTTCTTGCTTGAGTTCTGTCTCCCTAGAGGCCTGCTGGAAAGTACACCATCTGCCAATGGAAAACCCACTGTGCAGGTTCCATGATAACACCAGGTTATTGAGCTGGTTTGCCTGCTCAATCAGTTGTCTGGATGTTTAGCTTTATCTATAATAGAAAAAGGTTAGCTGACTTTAGAAGACCACCTCTGAGAATGTTAGCATTTCGCAAGTCACATGCGATGGACCAAAACTCTTCCTTATCTATCAATCTGCTAGAGGTGAGAGTAGAATGACTGCTACTTCTAGAAATTTCCTTGGTCAAATGGAGCATCTATGAACACTGACCCCTAAGATCCTTTTTCTTCTCTAGAGTATATAGACAGGGCTCGTAAGCATCTACAAGTGAAAGGCCTCTTTTTGCCCCCTGCTGGCTTTGAGCCTCTTTCCATCAGGCCAGTTTGGTCATGGGGATGGTAGAGCTTGGGCTCCACATTTCTCTGGATGAAGAACAAAGAAGAAAACATGATACCCTTTTGACACTCAGACAGGATTCATTTTTCATCAGCATCATAACCAGATGTTAAGTGGGTGCTGCCAAAATGCTTGAGAACGGTTGGTTTTCTTAAGTAAACTAAATCTCTTTTCCACCCAGGATCCTGTTTGCATTGTCTGAGAAGGATGAGGTTGATAAACAAATTAAGGACGCAAAGATAAATTTGAGAACAGCCCAATTTCTCTGATTAAAGTTAAATTAGTGGTGTTTGAAATGAAGTTTTGCTATATGGAGAGAGGCATCATAGGACCGTAGAATGTTGAGTATAAAGACAGTTTAGATATCAGTGAGGCCAGGGGCTATTAGCCTTTTTGGTACCATGGAACCTATTGGCAACAGTCTATGGACCTCTTCTCAGAATGATGTTTTTAAATGCATAAAACAAAATACATGAGATTTAAAAAAAAAAAGAAACCAATTATATTGAAATGCAGTTATCAAAATATTAAAAAAAAAAAAGCAAGTTCCTAAATCTCAGGTTAAGAAGCCCCAGTACTCCCTGGCCTACTCATTTTCATTCAGGGATAGAGGAAGAGAGACTGTATGCTATTCCCCACTTCCCTTCCCCCACACCTAACAACGCATCTATCTCATGACAGGAGTCAGGGGCCCAGAGTGGAAGCCACTCAAAATAAAGGGCTTAGAAGGTTTCTAAGCACCTTCCTCCCTAGGTCAATAGACTTCCTGACACGCTGGTCACCATGAGAGGGAAAGCATTTCTGGGGCTACTGGGAGATTAAAGGTTCTTCTCTTGTGGCCTTCACCAACCTCAGTTCTACAGAGAATGCCTACTCAGACTGACCCATCATTAGTTAGCACGACTTTGACAAATCACTGCTCCTCTCAAGTTAGACCTAGGATACAGGTGTGTGTATTTTATGTAACACATGGGCTCTGGGGAAAGAAAACGTTAAAGCATGAATCTGATGGAGTCCTATTTTCTCTGCCTACCCCAGCCTCTCTGTCCAGTGGTTAGTGTGCTATGTAAACAAATTCTTAAATGTGCTGAGTAAGGAACCCTGAGTAAGAAAAGCAAAGAACCTTTCCCTAATTTACATGTTGGGTAAGTTTTGATTAGCATATATTGGGTTGGTTAAACTGGGGGTGACCCACCTACCCAAAGGACACACATTCCCCCTTTGTTGCTACCTAGAGGCAAGGCACCCTCCCCCATCCTGGTGTTGTCTGGGCCACCAACAAAGCTTTGAGTGCAGAGGATAATGGTAATCCTTTGAATGACTGCCACCTACCCATGGCTTAGGGCACTGTACTAATATCTAGTCACAGGCTGCCAGGACCCACCATCCTGGCCTTCCATGGCTTTTCCCCACTCTTACCTTCTTGTGTCCTCCACCGGGAACATGGGTAATGTTATCCAGGGAACCGATCTTTGATTGAACCTTCTCCTTGAAGTCCAGTTTCTCAGATTTAACTTCCACTTGGCCACCACCTATAACACACACACCACACACACATGTTACCCAGGCATCTGTTTCAGGCTGTTAGTTGTAGTTAAAGCAAATGTACTAAGTCCTTATGGTAGGCACTGCAGGTGGATATAAACTCACAGGTAAAGTCCCATTATAACCAAAGACTTCATACAATGAAGTGACATTTAAACTATTACCTATTAATTTGAAGGAGCAGCTTACAAACTGTCTCTAACAAAGGGGACTATTAGGCCCACTTTAATATACAGCTACGACTCATCTTTAATTAGCACCTTAACAGTTCATATGCCTGCCAAAGTGCTTGAAAATAGTTGGTTTTCTTAAGAAGAAGAGATGCATTTCCCAACTCCCCAGTCCTGTTTACATTATCCAAGAAGAACTGGACATGCCTGTAGTCCATTGTTCCTGGGGGATAATGAGGCTGGTGGACTGCTTGAGTTTGGGATTTCTGAAGTCTCAGGGGGCTAAAGCTGATGGCGTGTCTGAACTAAGTCTGGCACCAATATGGTGAGCCCCGGGGATGGGGGAGGGGGCAACCAGCTGCCTAAGTGGCCCAGGTCAGAAACAGAGCTGGTTAAAGCGTCCACGCCCATCAGCAGCGGAGGAGGACCTGAGAGTGGTCACTGTACTTCCTGCCTGGGTGAGATAGGGAGATCCACTCTCAAAAAATTTTTAAAAAGGGACTGTTAAGCAAATTAAGGATGCCAAGATAAATTTCAGCCCAGCCCAAGTCAAATCATTAGAAATTCTAAATTATATAAGAAGCCCCTGTCAGATTCTTGTGTAGGCCCGACGTTTTTGTAAGCCTATGGTCCCTAATCTCACACCCTGTGAAAAAAATTGCTCAATTAAAATAGAAAAGCAGCAATTGCAGGAGCCTGGCCATGGGAACAGATGATCAGCACCATTATTGTCAGCAGAGCAGGAAAAGAAAGGACTTGAGGAGAATGCCATTTGTCACGGGTAGACATTCAATTCTGGCAAGTGTCTAAGAGCAGGCAACAACAATGAACAGGTTTGAATTGTGCTGCTGTCTGTCCTTCTGTTCCCAAGGCCTTCTGTCTTGCTAGGGCCTTTGGGGTGTAGGGATTATCTGCTGAACTGGGTTTCCTGGTACGAATGCCAAGAGACTACAATTCCTTGACATAGTAGGCACTTGGTGAACATTTGTTGAATGTGCTAAGGGCTCGAACCAAGACAGAAATTCTTTATCCCTAAGTATTTGGAATGAGGGCTATAAAAAGACCCTTGAGAGCGGGGAGTGTGGTATATCATTTCCCATCCAAGCTCAGCAGGGACAACAGTGATGTAATAATGGTAGATGCTCCCCAGCATCATGCAGAGCCACATCGATCCCCTACTGGACCCTGGGCCACCAGCCCATCCTGGTCCTGCCGTTATGGGAGGGCACAGTAAGCTACAGAGTGTCATTAATCTTGCTTTGAGAACTAGAGAGTTTAAGACAAAAAAAAGTATTTGCCTTTACCCTTTATAGCCTTTCTAAAAGTGTTATCAATATACTTGGTTTATAGATCACCTTCATTCCTGAGTATGTCCCTCCCCTTCATATTCTTTCAAAGAAAAGGCCCCCCGGCTAAAGCATCTTAGCAAGAGAAAGAGAGGAAGAAAGCACCCAGGCAAATAAAGATGTTCCACCTTTGACAATTCCTTGTTGGAAATAGGGCCAACTAGTAAACAGCTACAGAGAATGTTTGATCACCTAGAAGACAGATCGTTCCCAGCCCCCACAACATCTCTTCTGGGACTACCTGGTTTGTGGTGGATGTTGCCCAACGAGCCACACTTGGAAGTCACCTTGCTCAGGTCGACTGGCTTGTATACTATTTGCACCTGGAAGCATGCAGAGAGGGAAAGGAGAGCAAGGGGTCAGAGGAAGGGAAGGGAGGACGGGGGGTGAGAGGAAGGCAAAGAGGAGGAGAATTAGAAGGAGAAGAAAGGCACAGGAAGAATAGGGGGAAAGCAAGATGAAGGGAAGGGGAGGGTTAGGAAAAGGGAAATAGAAGGGGGAAGGTTCAGGGCAGGGAGAGTAGATAGGAAAAAAATTTTAAAAACAGGATTTTAAATTTGGTTATGACAATAAAGTGTGGCTGTATAAACTCAGTCCCCTGTTTGGATCCACGCCCCAAGAAACAAACAACTGGGGCAAGAAAAGTTGTCACTGAAATGCTAGTTTCATCCTCGAGGGATGCAGGGTAGTATACACTGGACTGCCGTATTTCCAGGAAGGCCAGTGACCCCAGAGGTAGAATTAAGGGCATATGAAGACTGCTAAATCAGTTCAGCTTCAGCTGTGCCAGAGTCATGTTTCCCCCCAAAGAAAATACCTTTCTCTGATGCTAGGTTTATGTCCCCAATAGCTGAAACAAGAGAAGTAGTCAGAGTCAGTTACACTGGACACAAGGCTTTTTAGAAAGGTGAGAGGACAGAATGCCAACTTACTAATTAATGCTGCTACCATTGAGTTGTCTCTCTCCTCCCCCTCCCCAAACACCATCATTCCAACAAGACTGGATACTAAGACATAAGCAGTGCAGTACCCAGCTCAGTTCAGAAGCTGTTCCAAAGCTCCAGTTATTAAAAGCATTGGGTGCCTGGGCACAGGGAGTCTTTGGGACACCGGATGGGCACAGTCAGGTGAGGGTGAAACAGAGAACAGACAGCTGAAGCCCAGTTACTGGTTAAACAGATCGCAAGCTCCGGGGTACTCAGACAGACACAGGGCAGGGCTGATGGACTCCAATGCTAGGTCATACTTTTCAACAGCACAGAAAACATCACAAGGCAACCCTACCACCTTGCTCCAGTGGCCTGATCCCAGGTGGTGACCACTCCCAACTGAGGCAAATCTTTGATTTAAGAGTCTCGTCGCCTGGTGAGAGTATATAGCTACTCTACACAACAGTGAAACATACCCTGAGTACAGTAAATCCTGACCTATGGGAACAAAGATTTTCAAGACCCAGTCGTGGCCCATTGATTCCAAAAAACGTTGGGTAATTGAGGGCACCCTCATCTAGGGAGCCCATCAGAGACAGGTCTGCGCTGAGATCTGCCTCGCTAGGGAGATAACTGAAGTGACAGGACCATGGATCTCTCAAAATAAGCCAATATTACTGATTGGCTGGCAGATAAGCAATTATTAAGCACTATGAGGTACAAGCCCCAGAGGGCAGCCCAAGCTGTGGGGGGATACAAAGGATTTCCATCTAACTAAAGTGTCTGTAGACAGAGCAGGATTTGACCTATATGAAGTAGGGGACAAAGCATCACGTGACTGAATTTTGAAACAAACACACCGGAACTTAGGACAAAGACTCTCAAATATCCTCAGTGGTGTCAAAGGAATTACACTGAAGTCTTACGCTGCTGGGGATGGATGGAGGAACCACCATAGCTCTAGACCAAATGCCCTTACAGGGGCCCTCGCAGGACTGATCCCATGCTTTGGCAGAAATAGGCTTTTGTTATTTCAAATACTATTGAAAATACGTGGTCTTCTGGCTGAGGTCTGGGCATCTTTGTCAGAGGTCTGTCATGCTGGTATCTGTTTTAATGAGACTGCTCTCACTGCTCAGTCGTGACCAGTTCTTCCTTAGGAATATGAGTTATTTACAACACATACCCAGAGGGGAAAAGAGTTCTATTTGAAAACCCTTTGATGAAGACCCACTTCACAATTTATTAATTTTCATTCTTGCTGTTTCATCTACAAATCAAAACAATCCCGACCTTGTGATAAATTCCCAGTGGGTGGGAGCTTCAAGTACCTAGTATATGTCTCATTTTGTACGGTGATAGGTATACAAATGCAAAAAAAAAAAAACCCAACCTGCCCCCCCACCACCACCCTCGGCCCAAACTCTCTCCTTAGAGAGCTTAAATATTATCAGGGAAAATAACATATATCCAAGTGAGCGAATACAAAGGTAAAAGAGGAATAGTGACCATTGAGGAACCAGTCTCTCCCCACTTCTTCCATAAAGTATGTGCAAAAGTTAACAAAAAGTAATTGGGGGAGGGCACTAGAAACTGGGGGCTGGGATCACGAAAGGCCTCCTGTAAGAGGAGTGAGGCTGAGCTAGGGGTTCTAAGAGGTGGAGGTGATGAAGGGAGAGCATTCCAGGCATGGAATTCCAGACTATGCAAAGGCGCTGAGATGAGACGGAATGTTGAGTATAAGGATCTGTAAGTAGGTCAGCCTGGCTGGACCCCAAGCTTGTGTAAGGGGCTGAAATAATGTGTAATGAGCCTGGAAAGGGAGGGTGGAGCAAGAATGTGCCGAAGTAAGGGGTTTATGTTTTATTCAGGAGGCGAGAAGCATCCCCTAGAGTTTATTGAGCAGGGGGAGTCAGATCTGTGCTTAAGAACGTGGCTTCTGAGTGGTGTGAAGGAAGGATGTGGAGAGGGTGAGACTTGAGGTAGGGAGGCCAATTACAGAGCTATTGCTGTACTCCACTTGAGAAGTGATGAGGGTCTGAACCAGCGCGGGGTGGCTGTGAGAGAAGAAGAATCAGATGTGAGAGATGATGTGGAGGGAGAATGGAGAGAATTTGGGAATGGGTTGGGTATATAGCCTGAGTCGTCGAGGAAGATTCTGAGAGATTAAGACCCTGGGGAACTGGAAGGATAGTGGTGTCCTTAACAGAAACAGGGAAGTCAGGAAGAAGAGTGGTCCTAGGGGAAAGACAGTGGGCTCTTGTTTTGGATAGGCTGAGTTTGAGGTGCCTTTGGAAGAGCCAGCGGGAAATGCCCAATAGGCAATTAGTGATATGGGGCCAGAATACAGAAGAGAGATCAGTAATAACTAGTATTTATATAGTGCCTACCACAGATTAAGCACTGCACAAATACCATCACATCTGTTCTTCACAACAACCCTAGGAGAGAGGGGCTATCGTCATCTCCATTTTAACAGCTGATGAAACTGAATCAAGTGACTTTAAGTGACTTTGCCCAACATCGAAGAGCTAGTATCTGAGGCCAGATCTGAACTCAGGTCTTCCTGACTCTGAGGCTGGTACTTATCCTAGATGCAGACCAGAGTGGATTATACAGATCTGGGAGTCACTACTTCTAGGTAATTGATAATTGAATCCATTAAGAACTGATGAGTTTCACTGAGAGGATATAGAGAAAGAAGAGGAAAGAGTAGAAGTCAGAGCTTTTGGGTACACCTACAGCTGGGGTCTGTAAAACATAGATGATGATGATGATGATGACTGAGCAAAGGAAATTAAGAGGGAGAGTTCAGACAGGTAAGGGGAGAACCAAGAACTGTCACAAAACCCTAGAGCAGAGAAATTATGGAGGAGGAGAGGGTGGTCAACAGTGTTAAATGTCAGATGCAGGGAGGTCAAGAAGGATGAGGCCTTTCACTGAGCCCTGTGTTGTCAATTAAAAGGTCATTGGTAACTTCTGAGAGGGGAGTTTCAGTTAAGTGATGAGATCAGAGGTCAGATCGATAGAAACTGAGAAGCAAATGAGAGAAGAGGGAGTGTAGACAAGGGAGTGTGGATGGCTTTTCCTGGGTGTGTGATGGCTTAAGGCAGGAATTCTTACCTCTGTCTGTGTGGCATGAACACCTGTGGCAGTCTGGTGAAGCCTACGGACCTCTTATCATGATGTTTTTAAGTGAACAAAATAAAATACGCGAGACTACAAAATAAACTAATTATATTTAAATAGTTATACAATTTTTTTAAGTTTGGGACCAAAGGTACAAGTAGAGGGGCCTGTCTTAGCAAAGAGAAGGGCCATCTCTTCTGCAGGACGGCATAAAGGAGAGAGTAGGGAGGGGATGTTTTAGGAGAGAGAAGATAAAAAACCTCATGGTGGATGGCCTTTCTTGGAAAGTAAATATAAGGTGAAGGCCTTGGCTGAGCAGGGTAGGGGGAAGGATGTGGTGTAAGAGTCTGAGGAAGGAACAGGTTTGGAACAGCTGATGTGAAGAATTCGATAGTGAAGCAAACAGGGAAGAGTAAAAGCCCTGCCTTGTGGCAGTGAGGGCTCAAGTGAGAGAAGATGGACACTTAGTGTCAATCCAGCCAGCACCGTTAATGAAATTTCCTCTAGCACCACTCGGCAGTATGATAGGAGGAACAGAGGAGGCAGCTGCCGGGGGCAACTCAGAGTGGGTAAAAACACCAAAGCAGAGGATAGTAAAAATAACCAGTAAGCAGGGAGAATCACAGCGGAAGACTCCCACCCCACCAAGACACCAGTGCCAGAAACAGCTGCAGAACAGCTTGTACTTCTGCAACGAGCAAGGGTGGGGAGCGCCTACCCTACGCTACGCTGCCATCACGCTTGATTCCAGTTTCTGGCTCTGAGTCTGGAGGCCCCGTCCTTTCCCCCACCCCAGGAGGCCTTGCTGCTGTGTCAGGAGCGAGGGATGGTGGGAAGCGGAGGGGCCTTTCTGGGCTCTCCACCCCACTCCCCTGAGAGACGATGACATGGCTGTCAGTTTTCAACAAGCTCAGCCTTGGGGACCGGGATGTGGGATAGTGTGTGTGTATCACTGGGGTTGGCTGGGAGGAGGTAGGTGGGGAGTCATGGCCACTACCCTTGGTGGGACCGCTTCTTGACGCCAAACATAGTTCATACGTGTTGTGATGGAGATCCCATGTATGCCTTTGCCTGCAACTTTTTTTTTCCTATTTGTCCTCATCCTTCTTGGTTCTTGTGTGTGTGCACATGTAAACATATAGATGTGTGTATATATGTACGTGTGTGTGTATATGCAAATATGAGTATGCATACACACACTCAGTACATGTCAGTAATTTACAATCAATTTGACACCTCTGTTCTCCACTTAATGGTTTTATTTAACTGACGGTTCCCATGAGCATAAGTGGCTATTAGACCATTATAATAACTAGAGTGTCATCAGGATAACAGCAGCTCCAGTGGAGAAAGGCTTTTCCACTTTGGTTTGAAAAGCCCTTTTTTTCACAATGAACCTGTGAGGTACATTAGGTTTGTCCTCACTTCTTCACTTTTGGGTTCTTCAGGCTCATTGCTTCAGGGTGCCCTGCCACCCCTTAAAAAACCCACCTCAGTAAGAACAAACAGCAAAACAGACCAGTGCCCAGGAACAGAGATTTGGGTTAATAGAAATAGCTTCTGACAGCCCGGCCTCAATAACTGGAGGTCTCTTCCCCCCACCACCCAATCTCTACCTTTCAGGAGAAAGGACAAATCAAAGGAAAAGAACCCAGGCTATCAAGGTGCTATCTATCCAAAAAGGGGCTTCTCCAAAAGGAGGAACTACTAAAGATTCAGTCCAGTCCTTCAGACCTTCCCAATCTACCTCCATCATCTTGTACGTAGAGAACTGGCCAAATATTAGAGCTGTAATAATAGTTAACATTTATATAGCACTTTAAGGTTGCTAAAACACTTTTACAAATATGATCTCATTTTATCCTCATGACAACCCTAGGAGATTGGTGCTCTTATCCTCTTCCTCATGGCAGACACTGATGAAGTGACTTGTCCCAGGTCACATAAACAGTAAGTGTCTGAGTTCAGATTTGAACTCAGGCCTTCTTGACTCCAGGTCCTGTATCCTGTCCACTGCGCCCCTTGGCTGCTATAACTCCAGAACTAGAAGGAACCCTCAGGGCCCTCCTAGCCCAATTCTCTCATTTCTGAGGGCAAAACCCTGCAAGGGCTCTGATCACCAAGAAAAGAGGCAATCATGTTCACTCTTGGCTCACTAAGGCAAGACCATGTCCTAACAAGAATGTTTTTTAACAATGACAATCTGAATCAAAAAGGACTCTCTACTAAACTCTCAGTTAACTAGAAAATTCAATTATCCCCAATTTTCCATTCCCGGTGCTTTGAATGTGAATGAAGTTTTCACCATAATTTGATATTTCATGGATTGATTGGCCAATAGCCTGGGAGTGTTGGGTTTTTTTATTTTTTTGGGTCCAGACCTATGTTTTCAGAAGTATGAGATGTCCCGGCACATTGATATTCTCTGCCAATACAGACTGGCAGTTCATCTAGAGCTGGTAGTCCCAGTGAATCACCTGGGACACTGAGAAGTTACCCAGGTGGAATAAATTGGAGGCAATACTTGGACTCAGGTCTTTATCGCCTCCAAGGCCCATCCTCTACCCATAATGTCAGGCTTCTCGGTGATTGGTCACATACCACAATGTGTATGTGTACGTGTAAGGGCATACAGGGGTATCAGAGTGCTCAAGGCGGATTTTTCTTTCAGGCTGTGCAAGGACAGCAGAGGTTAACAGAGGCTGATTGGAAGAATGTGAATGGTGGAGGGTGGAGGGTGGAGGGTGGAAGGGGCCGCAGGTAACTTGGAGCCTGGATGAGAAGCTTGGCTTGGGCAATAAATATCTGTTATAAGAAATATCTGGGGATGAGGCCTGGTCCAGGCTTTAGGGCTGGGATGAAAACAACGGAGAGACGTGGGAAGAAATGGCTCTAGTCCCTGGAGGAACACTACGTGGTTGGGGGTGGGGATTAGGGGAGGGCCAGAGACAAAGCTAGGGGTGGCAACAGCCCTAACTCTCCATGCTCCAGCTGGCCCACACCCACAGGCTCCTGGCACTAAGGGAGAGAAGGGGAGAGCGATGAGGGAAGAAAGAGAGAAACGGGGGAGAGAGAAGAGGAGAAAAGGAGAGACGGAGGAAGGGAGGGAGAGAGAGAGGAGGAGAAAAAGGAGAGAGAGGAAAGAGAGGGGAAGGGAGGGACAGAGAGAAGTGGGGGAGAGAGAAAGGGAGAAAGGGGAGCGGAGAGAGAGAGAGAGAGAGAGAGAGAGAGAGAGAGAGAGAGAGAGAGAGAGAGAGAGAGAGAGAGAGAATGAAGGAGAATATGAACTTGTCAGCAGCTGGAGTCGGAAGGTAGGTAGCTTAGTGCCAGAAACCACTTCTGTTGCTGTTCCTTAGACCACCCTCTGGACCACCCATGGGGACAACTGCTGTGGGCCACCCAGAAGATTGCCCAACTCTGCAGACAGAATAATTCCGTTTGAGGCTCACAATTTATAGGAGGTCAGAATTTCCCCAGCCTGTAGTCCTTCCATCAGGAAAACTGTTTTCTGCTTGATAGTCATGGGAAGAAACAGTGGTTACCTGCCAAGGGACAGAATATAAAACCAAGAAGGGGGTTTGTCAGGTGGACAGTCCCTTATAAGGTCAACCCACTATTATGAGGAGTAGTCAGGTCACCAGCTGACCCTGACAAGAAGATTGGGAGCCCAAAGATCTTTGCTGATATTTCCAGATGCTCTGGGAACTAAAGCTTCTTAAAATGACAATAATTAAAAAAAAAAAACACAACAAAAAAGATGTTCCTAACCCATAACCACGTATACAGCATGGATCATGAAGCATTTATTTATTTATTTTTTCCCAGTAGTGGGGATGGGACAAATGGAACCATCCATCAGTTCCCCCTTGTGACTGGTGGTCACTGTGTACTGACAAGATAGACCTTCAATAGCTTTAAAATCCTATGCTCTGGCACTGAGCAAAACTCCTTGGACCATGTAGAGATGGACCCCTTGATCCTGGCCTCTCTCCTACAAAGACCAAGTTCGAACATAACTCTGATGCTTTTCACTAACCCAATTCAAGCAGGCGAGAACAGTCTTCTTATACTGGATCTGTAGTTTGGGATGGATTCCTTAAATCTGTTTCATCCACCATCTTAAGCTAAAAGCCCACAGTGTACACACTGGAGTCCATCATCGTGGATTTGGAATGGGACTTTTTTTTTCACATTCTTCTCATTGAGCAGCAGAGGGGGATGAAGGAAAGGGGTGACTGGGAGGTGACAACAGATACTGGTGAGAAGGGTTAGCAACAATGCCATGCAACAGCTGCTAGGTGCTAGGGTGAGAATTTGGCAACAAGAAGGTTTAACAGCAGGAAGTCGGCATTAGGCTGTTTGGGGCAGGATATTGGTAGCACATGGCAGGAATCAATATTCTATGCTGCCCTATAGTACAGATGAGAGTTCTTAGGAGAGAAACTGCCTGGGAGGCTGGGCCTCTCAGACAATGCATCATGGTGGTTAAATCGGTAACTTCTGCAATGTAAAGGTATGCCCCTCTTTAGGAAAACCTGACGTGCATGACCCAGGATGACTAGATGACAAGACTAGTTGACCTTCATGTAGGTGCACAGAACTCAGAGCTGAACGGTCCTTAGAGATCCTCTTGTCTAACCCCCTCAGTTTCCAGATAAGAAAACCAAGGTCCCAAGGCTGCACAGGCAGTAAGCCTGCAGAACCAGATGAAAATTCACAAACTGGATAAATGAGGAGGCTCTTTCCCAAAAGGTTTTTTTTTTTAAAACAGTAAGACTCCCTTGCTGCATGTAGATATTTGTGGACAGATCACTAACTAGGTGGCAGCAGCAGGGCCTGGGTGGGGTTGGAGAGCAGGGACAATTTCAGCCAAAGTTTGTGGCAACAGTGCCACCCAAAGACCAACAAGAAATAAGGATGCCAGCCTCATGGCAGTCCTCTTGGGAAGCTGGGCATGGACCCCCAAGCAGTATTTCCACACTCATATCTCAAATGCTATGTCTGAAGGTGTCAGCTTTCTTGAACTTACACTGGGGCTGCTCCCCATCTGTACTCTCTCCCCCAGCAAAGGGGAAGAACTGGCTTTGGCATAGGCCTGGCAGGCCCCAGATGCCTCTTCTCTCCTTGCAAAAGCGGGAAGAGGCCAAAGCTGGCCAACAGCTGGTCTTTGCTTATGCCAAGGGAACAAGCGATTTATGTTGGCCCCATCCAAAGCATGAGACATGGCTGAAACTGTGGGGCAAAGCGAAATTCCAGTGGCTCCTCATCCAAATGCTAAATTTGACAAAGGGATCTGCCCTCCCCACCACCATCACCCTTATTGTAGTTACTCCTCAAGAAGAAGGTACTCCTTCCTCCTTAGACTGACTGATGGCAGCTGGGCCTAGGCCCGAGCAGTACTCCTGGAGCCCCTCCTTGAGCTGGTTCCTTGGAAACTGCTCTAGGATGAGCATCACAGAGGAGCTTCATGAGTGAGAAATTAAATAGTTCTTGACATCATCAGTGAATATTTGCCAGGTGCCCCCAGGGTTGCTGAAGGACACAAGGGCCTCACATTCCTCTGGTTGACTAATGCAGTTCATGGGCCAGATGAGGCACCAGCATTTCCAACCCTGTTAACCCAATGTCCTTGGGCAATAATGACTGTTTTTGCAGGGGTCTGCAATGAGGTCTGCTAGTAGTTTCTCTTAATTATGCTTTGAGAGTTGAACTTTCTTTCTGTATAGATGACCCCAAGCATCTCTTTACCTCATCTCTGTCTTAGCTACCACCCAAGCAGACTCCATACTTCTTGTGTGGGGGGGAGGAAATCCACACTTCTAGGTGCAGTGGGCATGAAGACAGGGGTCAAGGAATAACAGGATCACAGATTCAGAGCTGAAAGGGACCTCAGAAGCCATCTATTCCTAACCCTCTTATTTCATACTTGAGGAAAATGAGGCCCAGAGTAGTTAGGTGACTTGCCAGGATGGGGCAAGTCCAGGATTTGAATTCAGGTTCTTTCACTCCAAATACAGTGCTCGCACCACCCTGGAACCCCCTTTGTCAGAAATGGCTGAGGAGCCAGGAATGTCGAGAAGACTTTCTCTTCTTTACTTAAATCTCACAGACACAGGCATGTAGAGATTCATGCTACTTCTAATAAATCATAGTAGGGTGCATTGAAGGGGTGCAGGTACTCACACTGCCTCCTCCTGGGACGTGTTTGATATTATCCTTTGAGCCACACTTGGACTGGACGTTGCTAAGATCCAGCTTCTTATTAAATATCTGCACCTTTGATAGCCAGAAAAGAAGATGAGTCACACAGCACACAGGCACGGAGTCCCTCTGCCCTACAGTACTCAGCTCTCCCAAAACTGAGAACAAGGAATGGTAGCAGCAGCTGCTGCCGCTACAAGGCCAGGCTGTAGGCAGCCCCCAGGGACCAGACGTGGCTTTTTCTCTGACAATGGGCACTGCCCGGCCTGCTTCTTCTGGATCCACCAAAGAGACCTTGGTCCGATCCCACAGGAGCTGCCTGGGAAGAAAAATCTTTGAAAGGCGGTACCCTCCCATGCTTCTAATGACAACCTGGAAAAGCATACACAGCGAATAAGTGGTTAGAGGCGCTAAGTCCTCATCATCCTCAGCATGGAAGAGCCATCTTGTAAAGACATTCATTGCCAGGGACTTCAAGGAGGGGGGCTTCACTTTAAGGAAAAAATAATAGGTGAAAATCTGGATTTACAAAATCAGATGTTTCGAGGGGTGGGCAATTATGAGCATGAGGGTTCCATGAAATGGCCAGATCTTAATTATTTGAACCTGGGATTTATTTTATATACAACTTTTCAGAAATGTACACACGGCCAAATGATTATAAAGATTTAGAGTTAGAAGGGACCTCGGGGTCACCTTAGTCCAATGCTTTCACTCTTCAGATGAGGAAACTGAGGCCTGGAGATAAAAAGGGACTTCCCTAAGGTTACCCAGATGGTGAGTGGTACAGCTAGGACCCTCTGACTCCAAAACCAGCCCCTACTCCAAGGTCCCTATCCCATACAGACAAACCTGCCTAGATTATCATTATTGCTTTGGATCAAACCAACAAGATGGAATTTAAATGGCAAGGACCTAATGGACAGAGTGCCAAGGGCATCCATTTGAGAAGACAGATGGAGCCATGAAGCTTTCTCAGGGACTTTGGAAAAAAGGAAAGGTTTCCTTCCCATTGTAGTATTAATGCTGAACTCTTTCTCTCTGTTTCCCATCCCTTGCATATTTTTAAAGAAATGAACTTATTTTCTCCATCCTTTCTTTCCAAGACAACATCAGAATCCGCCTAGTCCAATCTGTACCTTGTCCGGGATCTTCTCTACCCTATCTCCAACATGGTGAACATGCAGCCTTTGCTTCAAGACCTTTAGCGGAAGGAAACAAGGGCTCTGCTCCTACCCCTTCCCCAGAATACACACAGATGCATACATATGGATTAAAGGATGGTCGATTTAGGATTCAAAGGGCCGTATTCTAAAAGTGCTTTCCTCATAGGCACTCTGTGAGGTATATAATAGTTATGGGATCTCCATTTTACACAAATGTAAATAACGGAGGCTAACGGAGATTAAGGGACTCATCCAGGGTCAAACGATTAGTAAGCAGCAGAGTTAGGACATAGAGGGAATCAGAGAATCTCAGAACTGGAAGAAGTATCTGTTGTGGAAGTAGGTAAGGAGGCCCACGATATTCGCAGTCCTGCACAGATCACCTAGGCCTGAGAATATGCCTAGTACTTGATCCCAGGGTGGAGAAAACCATCTGTAGAGTAAAAACCTCTGGCACAGGGTTGAACTTGGGCCGAGTCCTCTTTGCCATGCCATCCTTGGTCTAGCGTCCCTAGGTAGCCACAAACATCCACTCACCCAACAGGGAAGACTTCTCTAATGTGACCAGTCTTGTATAGAACACTCCCAGGTCTGTATGTTGTATCCTGGGGGTCTGAGAGAGTCCTGGGGGCAAAACAAGCCATACTGAGCCATTGCTACTGCTTAGATCCATCTGGAGACTGCTGACTTCTACACTGCTGTATCCTTAAATAAAGTCTAAGCAAGGAGACCAAGTGGTGCACGTTCCGTTTGTCAGGCTTTGGGAATTCTCTGAGCTCGCCAGCTGCGACCAAGACAGCATCAGAAACCACCTAGTCCAATCTGTACCTTAATATCTGTACCTTCTCTACCACATCTCCAACATGGAGATGATGGTTATGGAGTGTCTACTTCAAGACCTTTAGCAGAGCGGAAACAAGGAACCAGGGCTGGAGCCAGCTTGAATGGCTCCAGAGAGCTGGCTGTTAAAGTTCCAGTGTAAGCATTCACACCTTGGAAATCAGCAAATGTTACAAATCGGGGCTTGGTTTACCTAAGAAGCCGATGGGGAAAATGTTAACAAATTCAGATTAAACTTTAAAGCGTGTCCTACATACTTGTTTCCCTTTCTGGAGAGCTAGTTGTTAAACATTCACCAGCACACTGTGAGAGGAACTCATTGTCTCCTGAGGCAGCTTACTCACTTTCGGGGGTGGTTCTAATTGTTAGGAAATTTTCCTAACAGAGAAAATTTCAGAGCCTAACTCTGCCTCTTTGTAACTTATCATAAAGTGCCTTACTGAAAATCAGAAGGGACCTGAAAAAGCCCAACCAGACCAACTTCCTCCTTTTACAAATGAGGAAAACAAGCCCTGGAGAAGAATAATGACTAGAATTTGAAGGCAGGTCCTCTGGTTCTAGCCAATGGTCCTGGTGATTCACACCTGCTTCCTACTGATTAGAGTGGGAATTCAGATTCCCTGATTTTCAGACCTGGTCCTTTCCAGTTGACTTTTGAATTCAAGTGAATTGGGTTAAGTTAACCCTATTTAACTGAATTTACTTTACTGAATTAAGCCCATTCATCTTTTTTTTGGGTCCTGATTCTATCATCCAGCGTGTTAACTGTCCCTCCAAGCTTTCTGTCATTTACAAATCAGTTAGGCATGCCATCTTTGCCTTTATCCAAGTCACCTATAAGAACAGAGTTCTGCTGACTCCAAATTCTGTGCTCTTCTCACCATACTATTTGTGTGGTGTCACTGATAGTGAATATGAAATGGGTGCTTAGAGGGAACAGGGTTACGAAAAATCCAGGCGAGCTTTAAACCACAGGCACTGGGTTTTAGCACTCATTCATTCATTCACTAGAGATGACCAAGGTCTAGTAAAATCTGTTGTGATTCTATTGTTGGAGGCAGAGACCAACAGCTGTATTATGCTGCATAGATGAAGCTGGGATGGGGAAAAAAACCTGAAGATAAGCATAGTCTATATATTGGTACATATAATTTATATATTATTTTCATATATAATTTTCATATTATTTTATATATATGTATGTATATATTTTTTTCTTTGTAATCCTTTATTAGTTAAGAGTTACAGCCTGCTTGTATCCACCATGTACTTCTCCATCACCCTCTTAAAAATACTGATATATTTTATTTTTACATTGCCTACATATTCCATCCTATTGCTTTCCCATATCTCACTCAGAGATCGATTCCTTATAAGAAGGAATTTAAAAGATTTTTTTAAGTTCAGCAAAACTGACACATCAACTAAGACTGACATTTTATACAGTATTCCAAATTCAAGACTGCATTTGGGAGGGAAGGAGGGAGCTACATTCTCATATCTTTTCTTTGGGGATAAGCTTTGTCCCATTGTCTTCTTAGGGATACTCATTTTTTCATTAATTTTTTTAACACCACAAATTTATTTTCTCTCTCCCCACTATTAGAAAAGAAAAAAAAGTGGGGGGGCTCTTATAACAAAAGAAAAAAAAGAGGGGGGACTCTTGTAACAAATATACATGGTCAAGTAGAACAAATTCCTGCATCGGCCATGTCCAAAAAATATGTCTCAGTGTGCCCCCTGAACCTATCACCTCTCTGGTTTAATGTTGAACAGAAACCAGTTTGCAAACATAAGGAGGCATAATGTAGCTTTTACTATAACCTCAAATTGGACTGATTGTGGAGGAATACTAACCATGTGTTTTGGAAAAGGAAATGGCAAACCACTCCAGTATCTTTGCCAAGAAAACTCCAGAGACAGCACTGGCCATGCTACGGTCCACGGGGTCACGAAGAGTCGGACACAAGCGAACGACGGACCAAGAGTAACCATATGTTCTTATTGAACTAATTCTTATCATGGAATCATAGAACATCAGAAAGACCTTGGGAGCTTAGGCATTATCTGTTCTACCCCCTTCATCTGAAAGAGGAAGGGAGAATAAATAGCTTGCCCAAGGCCACGGGGCTGGAGAGAAGCTACCAGAACCCAGATGTCCTGGCTTTTTAGCCTAGGTTTTGTGTTTCTCACTACAACACACTGCTTCTGGACCTATCCTCAATACTTTCTCTCTCTCTCTCTCTCTCTCTCTCTCTCTCTCTCTCTCTCTCTCTCTCTCTCTCTCTCTCTCTCCCTCTCTCTTTCTCTCTCTCTCTCTCTCCCTCTCTCTCTCTCTCTCTCCCCCAAACTGAGCAGACAGACATACTTCTGCTACAAAAATAGTATTCCTTAACACACCCAAATTAAAACCCAGCTCCTTACTCTCGGCCAGTGTCAAATTACAGAATCACAGAGCTAGAGGGATCCACGGCGGCAATCTTGTCCAATCCGGGCCCGAAACAAGACCCTCTTCTTCCACCCATACACAATCACCACAAAAACAGCAGCAACAACACACCTGCCATTTTCCCTGCAGCCTTTGTGTGAAGGCTTCTCCTGGGCCAGGAACAGGCATGTGTGGGAACCACCACCTTCCAAAGGAGCCTCTTATTCTGTTTTTGGATAACTTTAACCATTAGGAGTTTTATGCTAACATCCACACAGCCTGACGGTAAGAATTTTCAAGAATGGATGTTCACATACTCACTTTTGAAGTTAGTCCAGGAGCTGATTCTAGATCCACAGACTGTTAAAAGTGCTCTTAGAGACCGCCTAATCCAACCACCTCCATTTTAGGTACAAGGTCATACATACAGTTAGTTAACAGAGAAAGGATTTGAACTGGCTCCTGGCTCCTATTTCAGTGCTTATTATCTTCCTACCAGATCTTCCTATTTATGCCACCCTCAGACTTTAAGGTATTCTAGATGAAAAAAAAAATCTTTTAATGTGGGATTGAATTTTTATTTATAAGTGACAGGCATGTCACTTTTAAAAATAGACTTCTGAATTTACAGAAGGGATAAA